CTTAGGGTAGCAAGAGGAAAAAGTGATAATATTATGTCTAGCAGCCGAGCAGAACAATCCAAACATTTCCATACTCTTTTCAGCTGGAAAGGCTTCTAATCTGTGCAGAATTTTATTTATTTTTTTTTCTGTTTTGGGTCTACATCTGATATAAGATTACATTTTAATCATCTATGGTCTGCCTACTGATGAAGTGGCTTCACATTTAGAACAAGGTTTTTCTTTATTTAACATGTTCCAATAGCATCTACCATTGTATGTCTAGGATAAAGAAAACAGCTCCAGTGTATTTCAAGACAGTTGGATATCCAAGTAATATAAGCAAAGGCATCTGGCAAATAATGAAACCAAATGTCCCAGTGTTTCTCCATGTAATGAAGCAGAAAGGAATTGATTGGGATTTCAGTTTTTTCTTTAATCTGTTTTGTCCTTTTATTGGCTAAGTGAAACAAACAGACACAAACCTTCACATTGAGGCATCAGATCAAACATTTCCTGTTTTGAGGAGGTGAATCGAAAGGAGAAATACCTTTACTAACCGTAAATGTTCACCTACAGAAAAAGTTTCTAAGCCTAAGCAGTAGAGCCTTTTCCTTGCCAAGCTGGACCCACTGCGGCTTGTGAAGTACAAATATAACTATTCCATTTACCTCTGTCCTCTGGAGTAAATGATGATGAATCCTGCCCCTGATGCGCTTTGCAGATCAACTCTAAAGAAAAGTCTAATTAGAAGCACACTATAACAGTCACCTCTGGATATGATGCAAACTCTATGTTACACTGAGAGCTTAAAGAGACTCAAATAAACACCATGCCAGCTGTAAATCAAGGTGTAGGGTTTTTTTAATGAAATATTTTATTTATTTGCTATCGGTTAAAAATGTCCAAAGCAGACTGCTAAGGCAGACTATTCTTTTTATGAAATACTACAAAGGTAATTGTAAAATGTTCTAGCAACATCCTGCCCTTTACTGACCTGAGCAGTTGGGTGAAGCTCAAAGTCTTGCTGATTGCAGGAGAAATCAATGGAAGAGCCATCTGCTTTAGACATAATCCTCAATGTGTGCTGTATTACCTCAAATCCTTTCTCTCAAGTACAGGAGTACTTGAACACAGATTCAGAAAGAAAAAGGAAAGAGAGTAGGTAGCAGAATAACACATTTTAAAGAATAAGATACTGGTAAGCAGCCTTTCTACCTTCTTCATTTGTTTGTGCATACAGATTATATATATATATATATATATATATATATTCACTTGAGTAACTTCAAGCATTATTTTTTTCTCTACGTGAGAAAAGAGAAAGCCAAAAAACATGACATCATGAGAGGGAGAGCTGGGATCTGTTTCACATTTTCCAGTTTACAAACCTGCAGCCAGCTGGGCTGCCTGATGGGAAGAGTGCTGTTTTGCAACTGTTGTTAACTCATCTGGGTGACCGTGTTCCTCTTGATTGAGAAAAGTGGCAGAGTGGCAGAGTACTGACAGGGTTGGCAGGAAAGAAGAGGATAACATGGGGTATGTCTCTTTACTGTCAGCTGATAAATTCTTTGTGAGAGACCTAACCTGTAGAACTGCTGAGCTATGGTGAATGCTCAGGTCAGAGCACTAGGGTAGTCTGTTCCTTCAACAGCATCTCCTCGTGGAGATGAGCAGAATCTCTGCATGGTCATGACTGCGGTGAAAAGCCTGCTCACTGCATTTGGGCCAGCTGCATTTCATGTTGTCTATAGGAGGACAGAAGGAAGACAGAAATAGGCTCCGTAAGCAGACCAGTAATTCCTTTTTGTAGAAGAGGAGGGAAGTTCTGAGTTTAAAATATTGTAACTGGAAACTGTATTCAGAGGTAATCAAGAGATGAATAGATTACTATTCTTAATGTTAAAAGAGACCAAGCTTGATAACTGCCTCCAAATGCTTCTCTTCCTCCACCACTCAAGAAGACATGACTGATTAAACTCTAAAATTTTCCAAAACAGGACAAATTTTCAGGACATGGGCAGATACCTGCAATATCTGGCCAACTGTTCAGTCTGCCATTAAAAACTGTCAAACCAGACAAAATTCAGGGGAGTCAAATCTCAAATATTGTCAGCAGGTTGTCTGGAGGGTAAACAACGATCATGTTCAGAGACCCTCTACGATGGCTCCACGATAACTAGCTCCAGTCAACAACAGAATTTCTGTGCTGGCAGTTGCTGTGTTGTCCAACTACCTTTTTGGATCAGTGCTTGCTCAATATCTTTGTCCTTTGCATACCACGGGGCCACTGAACTTTCCTTTTTCCTTTCAGTTATACTCTCACAGTATATTCTTGTAGCTTACTTTTACACGTATCCTGAATAATTCATATTTTTAACCAAGCTATCCTAACTCTTTATCACCCCAGATAATTTTGTGTTGAGTGCATCAAGAAAATTATAATACAGAAGTGAAAGTTCACTGACTTCTCCATACTCTGCTAAGGTTAAATACCTGATCAGAATGCTGCTCAGTAACATACACTGAAAATAACTGCTAGCTTACCTACCCAGCTAATGTGGATTGCTGCCATACGCCTAGTAGAAGGCAGGATCTGGCAATAAATTCAGGACTATGGCTGAACCAGAATGAATGGGGAAGCTCTGACAGGCCATCAACTTAAAATTTATTTTATTTGTGGTATCTGTGATTCCAGAAGCTGAAATCACAGTATGGTAATATAGGATCTCACCCCAATCACATGACACATCAGCTCCGTTTCCCTTCCCACACCGCATGTCATGGCCCCTGTGACTACAGACCACCTGAAAATTAAGGTTAGGAACAAGGTTTCTTCCATGATGAAGATTCGGAGCTTCCCACGTCGAGGTTCTTCACTGAAGTTACAGCGGATGCTGACATCAGACTGCCTAAGCACGTGGGCACGTCCCTTTGGCCCGACTGACGGCATGGAAACCCCTCGAGTACACCGGGAAGTGTGAGAGCCATTAAAATCAATGTCTTTATTGTGTAGCAATAACACATGGAGCAAGACAATGAGCTGTGGTTTAGAATATTGCCGTCATCCCCAGAGATAGTTTGAATCAGTCCAACGTGATTTTCAAAGTAAAAAATCTAAGTGAGAAAAAAAACATTGTGCCTCTAAGGGAAACATGGATGTAAAAGAACTTACTTCAAACTGAAAACATTTACAGACACACGTGCATGCACGTGCATGCCTAAAAGAAGGCTGAATTACAGTAACTGTCAGCTACTGCCGCGGAACAGATACTGAGTAGGAAGCTTCCATTCCAGCTGATGCCTTATTTTTCCTTCAGGATTATCTGTGTTACTTTCTCACTGAAAGCAGCAAAATCTTCACTTCCATCCGAGCACGAAAAACTAATGCAGTTTCTTGGCGCTCAGTCACATATGAGCAGGCAAACTGACATAAAAGCAGATGAATCCCCAACTCAAGCAGATGAAGCCCCAACCCTTAGCTACCCTAGAAGACATTTCTCCTCCCTTTCACGTAGGTAACTGGGCTGCTTCCAGCCTTTTATTGGATTTGCTTGAACTGGCTCCAATTACAAAACTTATCTTGTTCTTCCTCTCCAAAGATAAAAGCTATACTTTCCCGTCAATTCTAAACAGTTTTGAGGCAGAAGAATGAGCTCTAACAGAGAATGTATAGGTGCAACTGAAGCTTTAAATAGATAAAATGCAAATACAGTGAATTTGGTTAATTAGAGGAGTCTGGGGCAGAATTTTAGTGTGCCCTTTGGCATAAAACATATCCAGTTAAACTGAAAACTCAGTGTGAAGAATTTTTTCCCTTTGACAGAAGCACCCAGGTGTGGCACAGCAATTAGTTCCAATACCGCTGCTGTGTGGAAAAAAGGTGCCTAACAGGGTTATCTATACAATGAGTTAGTTTTTCCTCTCACATTTATTTTGCACTGCTATAGTTCTGTTATGCTCCATGCAGTTTGGTTTTGTTTTGCTAATGAATATTCTAAAATTGGATGACCTTCAGAGAAGGCCAGAAATTTCTCCAAGCTACCTCCAATGGCTTCCTTGTACAAGGAAAATACACCAAGCAAATACATACAATTCGGCATTCAGATCTTCTGAAAACAAATATATTCAAAATAAAGTCTGTCACTTGCAGCTGACCTAACATTCTGAAGCTAGAAGGGTTTGTAGTTGTACTTAATTTCAAAGATGAGAATGATTCTGTCATAACATGAAATGCACAGTGGGAATAGAGACTGTTGTGTCATGTAGCATGAGTTATGAAAATCATTTTCTTTTTCTACCAGGACAAGCATGGGCAAATTACACTACTTACAATTTCACATTTTATGTTAAAAAAATAATTTTAATTTTAAAATAATCTGCTTCTCTTTTCTAATACATAAAATGGCAACTGGCCTTGTTACATCTCAGGAATACCTATCTGTTTACAGCTTTTTCCAGCTGGAAATCCTCATCAGGTGTTTAACATCCGTGACAGGATTCATTGCTACAACAAGATTTTATATGTTCTGCAGACTAGTCCCTACCCTTTGGCTATAATGAGTGTCAAAAATGTCAGCCTGCCACCTAAGAAGCCTGAAAGCACAACTTTTTCTGCTTGTCAAGGCTTGGAATTGCAGGGAAAGCCAGGAGAATTCAGTCCATTCTAACTGTTTATTTTCTGCCTTAAGTTTTTGAAGGACCCAAGAAAAGAATGCTCAGGGCAAGCTACTGCTCTTGGCTGACTCAGCTTTGTCAGGTAAAGACACCTGAGACACAGAACAGCTCATCCTTATGCCTGCAAATATGAATTAAATATAGAAGCGCACATCTACAAACCGCAACTATATTGATTAAATACCATAATACTTATAAAATTAAAAAATGTATCGTGCAAAACTATTTTGAAATTAGACAAACAGTACTCTAAAAGCATTCCAGTTCTCAGCGTGGAATTTCAAGACTGAATACGGAGGACAAGGGTTAAAAAAAGATGAGTCTCACGGTCCATCAGCACTCACCATTCAGCCACTTGGAGTTGTACTGGGCAGTGCGGAGAGGAGGAAGGTTCCCCAGACTGCGGTAAATAGCGGGATCCCTTCCTGGAAAATCCATGGCCGTAGCAGCATATAACTCCCCACTGGAAGTGAGAAGAGCAGTGGAGTTGTGCTGAGGACTGTAAGGACAACGAGCCATGCCACTGATCTGGTCGTGTATCTCTGTCAAGTTACTTAACTGTAAAAGAGAGAGGAAAAGGGATTAAAATGAGGAAAATTATTCAAATGAAAATTATAATTTCAGACAAGATGCTTCACACTGAGCAAAATTCTATGATAAACACCAGTTATCTGCTTTGGTACTGTACAACAGTAATGAGCTAATCTTTACATCAATCTGAAACTGTCTCATGTAGCAAGTTTTACTGTAATGTCCTCTGATCTCACTTCTGCCACTGCGGTATGTAGAACATGCGAGCTCATCATTAGCCACCATGCCTAAAAGGTTTTATGTTAGAAGTGACTCAAAAATGCATCATCTCCACACAGATTGTTATTCTGAAAAACAGATCTGATTGCCAGAATCAACTAAGGTATTACTGTAGCAAACGGTCAGGGAAAAAAAAAAAAAAAAAAATATCCTTTTGTTTCATTGGTGTGTTCTAGGAAAGAATCTCACATGAAAAATTAGATTAGAAAAAGGAGCTTTTCATTTCAGCAGAACTATCTTCCTGATTTAGTAGCCCTAATACTTTCAGCCATAAAGCACAGTATGATGTTAATATGTTATTTGAAAATAAAGGTACAATAGGTTTAAACATAATAAATGTGCCAAGGAGTTTTCTGGTGGTACAGCTATTCTTCGTATTTAAACGCCTCTCCCTTCCCGAAATAAATATCCAGCTTAGTCTAAACAGCGACATTTTGATTTTTATGACCATTATTGATCCTTAATGGACTCTCTATCTTTCATACACATAAATTACAACTGTGTTTTGTTTTGTTTTTTTTTTTTCAGAAACAAAACGACAGATTTTTTCCAACCAAGACTTCTCATTCTCGCCAGTCAGAAATCACTAGTCCAGGTACTCTCATCTTTCCCAGAAGTCCACGTACACCGTAAGCAGTTACCCGAATACATTTTATAACTAAACCAACTGATGCCAATCAAACCTGACAGACCGCCAGAAGCCTTAGAAATACCTCAGGCTCACGAAAACCGGCACGTGGCAGGAACAGAGCTGCTCGTCGCTGTGCTGCCCTCTTCCACAGCTGAGGAAGAGGCTGCCAAAAGAGGTCATCGGCTACCGCTGCTCTGCGGCCTGCCACTGGCCGAACCAGCCTTTGACGCATCAGCTCCAAGAGCAAGAGGCACAAGGCCAGGGCCCAGCCACGGCACGCTCTGCCGTTTGGCCTGCTGGCCCACGACAGAGGCTGGAGCTGGGGGGACGCAGCATTTGACGCCTACCGTCCGATTGGTGCAGATGGGAGTGAACGCGTTGGTCCCGCAGGTAAAGAGATGGTTGCCTCCAACAAGAAGCACTCGAATGTAGTTCTGGCACTCCTCCTGCCGTGCAGAAAAAGAAAGACCATAGCCAGTGACACTTCAAAGGACAGGGGAGACTGATCACGATTTGCTTTCCGTGGTTTTGTGGCCACACATGAAAATTTAGGGGAACAGGGCTTGAGCACGCCTGGCGTGCTAGCGGTCATGACAGAAATAGATTGCCTAACTACAACACATGCATCCATCAGTCTTTGTGAGAAGTTCTTATCAGGATAACAATAAACCTCTTCAGTACCGAGTATTTCTTCTAAGTGTGTATTTCAAAGGTTTAGCTAAACTCTGAAGTGATAGATCCTGATTTAAATAATACACTGCTGTCTCGATAGATCAGATGCTGTTTTCAAAGACACACGAGGCCAAGGGAGCAAGTTGGGAGGAAAACAGGAGAAAGAACAGGTTTTCACTATCACCAGTATGTTGAAACCAGTGCAAATAAAATTCCTGAGATGTTCAGACACAGATTTGTCACTACTAGTTTCATAATTTCCACAATATGTTTTATTAGAGGCATCTATGTTTCTGTTAATCTGAAGTTTCTCAAGAAATTTCATTACCCCAATACACAGATGCTCACCCCCGAGGAATACTTTGACATGTTTTTTACCCCATTAGGATGTGTGAAGACTTTATGATATTCATTCCTCTCATTTCAGAAGCTAGAAACCAACAGCAATTTCTACTGTTTATTCAGACAGAAAGCCTTTTTCTGCAGTGCTAAAAAGCTCCCAGAATTCTATGTGGGAAAGATTCAAACACTCCTCCTGCAAAAATCAATGTCCCTATTTAATAAAATTAACAACATAAACAGTAAGCTTGGAAAAAACCAATCGTCCTGGAACCCTCCATTTGAATGCTCTCTAGCTTTCATTCACAAGACAGTCTCACGAAAGCATTAAAAAAAACTTGTAAAAATACAGCTATGCAATTCTAATAGATAATAAGTGGAATCAGGCAAGAAAATCCACATAATGGTAATGCTGCAGAAGTCCCATTGCATGGCTTACAGTTATGTTAATTGTTTTGCTTGTTTATCTTGAAATAGACTCTCATCCTGGAAGACAAGAAATATAATCCTGAATAACTTGAAAAGGCTCAAAATAGACTGCAAAGCAAGATGGGAAAATACTTTAAAGATTTCTGAGAAAATTCTCAGAATTTATTATCTATACCTTTCACCATACTAAATAAAGTTTAAAAAAAAAACCACCCCCACCCCATAAAATCTGAGAAAAAACCCACCTCTTGAAAAAATATTCCCCAAAACTACATTTGCATTAGTCTCTCATGAAAATATGGCTTTTAAATGCATCTCTCTGAACCTTTAAAGGTGTCAAGAACCTTAGAATTAAGATTTGACTCCAATCAGGTAAAAATACAACATCTTTATCTTTAACTTACCAAAACTGTCATGTTAGTATTCTTTCAATCAAACAGAAGCGAATATGCAACCATATAACAGAGTTGGGCAGTGCAACAAGCCTTTTAAAAAGTAATTATTTAATTTCAAGCCATTTTCCTGATTCAGGTTGTCTTTACTACACACACACACACAAAAAGGCAATTCCTTCTTTTTTTTTTTTTTTTTTTTTTTTGTGGGAAGGGTGGTTAGGGGGGTTCATAGATTATAATACAGTAATTTATTGTTCGGGCTGCTTCCATCCTGCCCTTTGCAGCAAGCCATGGAATGTAAGTGTAGGAAAAGTAAGTGGGTACTGACATTACAACCCATCCAACCTTCCCTCTTCATATTCCAGAGCTCCCTGAAACAGTGCCATTGCCAAATTACTTGCACGCTGATCACCCACTCTTTCTGTTCAGAAATAATGTTAATTTTTTAAGCTCTGACATTCCTGGGATTCACAAGATTCTTCTAATGTTCCCAAGTCCTGTGCCAACTGCACAACAATCTATATTGCAACAGGGCAAATAAGATATCTCATGAAATTTTTGTTGGGTACATAGTACAACAAAACCAAAAGTGCAAGGACAGTTTTTGCAATTGGCTATTTTCTTCGTACAACAAATCCACAATAATACAAAACAAATTTAAAAAATTTAGTCATGAATATAGCAATCCCCACCCAAAGAGATATTGAAAAAGGACTCCCATTAGTCATTTGAATTGTTCAGAGCCACTTTTCTAGCTCTGGCGTCAAGCTCAGCTGGTTCACTTTTCAGACGTGCAAAAAGGAGATGTGTGTTGTAGAAGAGGCACTGGTGAATGAAAAGGACTCCAAAAAGCAAAGGGTTTTTTAGTTTGGAGAGTGGTGGTAGGTTTGGTGGCCATCTTTTACATAGTCTTATTTTCCATTTCATCTTGACCTGTGTGCCACATACCTTCCTATTCTCTTGTAAAAATATCTCTGAAAGAAAGAAATTAATTTAGCAAGTATTTTCTGCTTTTGTATCAGCATACCTGAAACAAAATGTAACTATCAGAAACAATTCAGCAGCCAAGCAGGCTAGGTTGCTATTTAAGTTGAAGGCCAACTTGACAGTTCAAGGACAATCTGGCTGCATATGCTGATCCTTTTGCTGCAATGCTTCTTGTACAGGCTAACATTTTAAACATACCCGTGTTTAATTTTTTAATACTTTTATTGAAATTCCAGATGCTAATACACACAGCCATTAGAATCTTAAATAAGCAAGGGATAAGAGACTTCACTTCAATTAGATATATTTTTTTAATGTCTTTTTGGTTTACTGTATTTTTACCATGTGTATTTATATTTTTCCTTTATAACAATACCTACCACAAGTGCCAGTCTGAATGGCAAAATTTATTCTCTTAACCATGTGTGGTGTTTTAGACTTCTCAATGTTGACACACGCTGGCCACAAGGACGTCACCTTGTCTGGCTTGCTCCTGAAGTCACTAGTTATTTTAAGCAACAGCTTAAATTTGTGGATAAATGTCTGAAGTCTCAGTAACAAACACCAGCCTTCAAAAGTCAAGTGTGCATTACACTGTCGAATGTGACAGATGTCCCTATACGTTTTCCCCTTCAGCTCTTTTCATTCGTTGGCTCCTAAAGTGCAAACTTCAGAACAACAACAACTGCTAACAGCTAGAGGCAAAAATTCTGTGCAGCTTCTTTCTCGAGAACAACAACAACAAAAAAAAGGAGTAGTGTTTAACTGACCATTATCTCAAAACTACTAGAGTTCCTGCAGGGTTCAAAGCTAGTTTCTGGTTTCGGGGCACTCAATCAGCAAACTGACTTGTAGTTTTGCTGCCTGAACTCATTGCCCCCGTGCTACTCTGTGGGCAGCAGAGCTTCAAGAGAAACTGGGATTTGAACGAATAACTTACCCGCAGTCATCCTTGTAATCCTCACCTCTCCTTCGCCACAGTCTGGGCTGGCCTCGTATATTTTTCCTCCAATCTTTCCTGTCCCTTCCCTACAGTCACACCTGTGTCTGCCCTGAAATCTGAAGTCATCCTTAGAAATATTATAGAAACGCAACTCCCAGAAACTCTCCAGTTTGGGCTCGATCTATTTATACAAGTAAGCAAGCAGTCTTCCTGATAAGAGTAACTGGAATTGGGTCTCCCGGGGGATTTCCTCTGAAGAGGGACAATTCACTGTAGCACTGGACTGAATTCCTCATGGTCTGATAATTCTCAGTTTTTCCAAGGAAGGCTTTTGTGGTTTGAGGAGGAGGAGGAGCACGCCCCTGATCAGGTGCTTTCCTCATCTGCATGCGTAAGTCCTCCTTACACAGTGAATATAGTGACCCTGTTTTAGTCTTGGACTTAAAAGCAACAAAAGACAAACATCATTAGGCTATCCTTCCTCTAGCCTTCAATTTATCCTTTGATTTTAACCTCAGTCACACCAGTGAAAGAAGAAGAGGCCCAAAAAGTTCAGACAGCTGTCATTCCAGCTGGGTAGGTTGCCTCAGTCAATATCTGCATTTTCTAGAAATTCTCCTATAAGAACCTTTCAGGCCATAAAGTCTGCATGCCAAAAAATAAAAAAATCCCTAAGGTAACAATAAGAAAATAACTATTTCCTCCCAGGATTACCTTTAAATATAGTAAAATATAAGAATTGCACTTCTCTTCTAGATTGTGAGGAACAAAGCTATAGATACAAATGAAACACCAGATCTTTATCCAACTAATAACAATAATAAGAAACAATCTTAGAGGTCATTATTAGAGTAGTGTATATGCTATTTTACAGGGACAGCATAACTTCCAGTCACCAGCTTCTTCAAAAGGTTGTGATAAGTATGAATGAAAATATGCACATGTACCACACTGAGGTCCATTCTTAAATGCATCTCACCAGTGTTGAGTATTTCTCCTAGCAAAATTATTTAATAGCAACATATGCTTCTACAGTTTTGATCTGCATGTGGATCTTACAGCACAGACAGTATTCTAAACATAATATTCAAAAGTTCCCTACTATGGTCTTAAATTTACCATTACTTTCATGCATCATGTTAGATCACCATCACTGCACTGTGACTTTCAGACAAGCTGAACGTTATTCTCAGTTTTAAACTCATAAAATCAAACTTTTAGTTACACATTGCATTCCTACAATGATAGTTTCCACTCTATATGCACCTTGATCAGTGCAACATGTCATATTGTCACTTGAGCAGGATCTCTTACTCCGGAGTTTTGCCACCTCAAAATTAAGGATGAAGGCTTGAAGGATATATTACATAAAGAAGCAGAAATCTTCCAGGGACAAATTACAACTTACAAAACGAAACATTTGCTTAAAAGCATGAGGTCTCAGAAGTTCTTCCTTTTCTCTCCACAAACTGACAAGTAAGATTGTAGATCAGAACACTTGCTAGATGTTATTTCTGCTGTTAAAGCCTTCACACATAACCTGAGTAGACAAACTCTGATGACTTAAGTTAGGTTAGATTTTACTTAAAGATTTCTATTTCTTTTCTCTAGCTATTACCCCCTTCTATATGCCTAGCAAATCCTGCATCTTAATAGCGAGTGAACAGTGACTCTTAAATACACGTTTCCCACAAAGGCAGGGAAAGAAAAGGAAAGGAGAAGGACAAAGGAAGCAACAACATTGTTAATGCCTTTTCCCAGTACTGTAAACTGTTTCTCCATAAAGACAATCACCTTCCATGCATGAAGCTTTACACTGCACTTTCACTACACTTTTTGTTTTGTTTTGTTTTGTTTTGTTTTTTTTCCAAGTATTTCTGTCTTTTTCTACCCTCACAGTATAACATGGCCCTGGCTTCTGAAGCGAGGCCATTCTTCCTGTTTAATCTCAAACGGAAATGCACAGGCCAAGGGTACACTGAAACATTACTTTTCAGCATTTAGTAAAAAAAAAAAAATCTGGAAATTAACTATTTAATGGGAGTAGTTAAAAAGTCAGTGATTAGATGACTACGCAGAAGAGACTCTTCCTCTGTTAGATAACAGAAGCATTTGAAACATGCTTTTGAAGCTTGGGGTTTTCTGAGTTTTGCACCTCAATAATATATGTTGAGATGTTCTACTGGACATGGGTCCTGAAAGCAGGTGTGAGCTTCTGTAGGTGTTGCTCCTGATGTGTTTTCCCTTTACGTTGTAACTCAATGAATTTTAACCATTAAACAGTATAATAATTGCAGGCATAGGCCGCATGCATTTCTAACTGCTTTTATCATTAATTTGATAACTAGCTTTAGCTTAGGACAGCCACTAAAGAACACAGCATCCATACAGGTTCTATCTTAGCACTGCACTCACCTCTGCTGAATAAAAGAAATTGTAGTTGGTCAGATAGGGAATTGGTTCTGAACACTAAAAATATATCAAGTCCCATGTTTAAAAAGTTAGTGAATTTCATATTATTTTCTTCATAGCACCAGTAGATATGAAATATAAATGTTCCAAAAATTGCATCTAATACACAGGGAAATAAATTGAGGATTTTATAAAGTAATTACAGAGTTATTCAGGATTTACAGCACTGAAAATGAAGTGAGAATACAGCCCATTTCATATGACACCTTGGAGATTCAAAACAGTAAATTGTTGGAAGCTGAAGTTCTTGATCACTTCAGAAAATAATCACATGTCTGTAACTCTCACCCCACACTCCCTATATTGTTTTTTATTCAGACGCCTTTCATACAACTCTCTTCAGAAAGGAAGACAATAAAACCGCATAAGGTAGAGCTTTACACACTGAATTACTCCTGCTACTAACATATAAATTTTATGAAAGCAGAACAGCTGTCTCTTGCTTACCTTTGATTTGCCTTTACTGTAACAGGCTCTTTTAGTAGCTTCGTCACACTGCCATTCCACTGCCTGCAACCAACAGGAGTGAGTTAGAAGTGAAGGGAACACAGAAATAACACCCCCCCGAAATATCTAAGCCCATGCTAGAGATACGTGCTTCAGACATACTGATGATTAGCTGTGCGTGATTCTATCCATAATCACCTTACAAGTAAGCTTTTTCTCCTTAGAAATGCAGTTTTGCTGCCGGTGGTTTTTCAGTGTCTTAATCCAAAGTGAAGCTGGCCATCCCTATGATTCACTGTACCTACCGCTGCAGGAGAAATAACCACAGTCACACTTGGCGTTATTTAGCCACGTCTGGATGAGTCTTATTAAGGAGGGCAGTTAGGAACACAGAGAAAGGCTGGCCCCCTCTCCCCAGCGGAGTTGGGCTGCGTCACCGCCGCACCTGAGGTCCCCTCTGCCGAGAGACCTTGTGTCGCGGGGCATTGCGCCCTGTTGCGGGTTTTGCAGTGCTTCTCTCAAGCATCAGGTGGAGATTTCGGCTGCTCAAGGTATGACTGCAGCACTAATCAGAAACACTGAAGGGCCCATTCAGAGGAAGAAGCAGCGGGCAGACACATGCAAGACAGCAGTGAAACGGAGCACGGCAAAGCAGAAGCGATCGGTCCTAATTTTTGAGCGGTCTCTCTGCTTCAACAGATTTATTCCAGGACTGTAACGCCCAGTCTGCATTACTATAGTGTCACTGCATGAGTTAACTCCAATTATTTCCATATTTAACATTCAACAGCTATGACTTACGAACTCTACTGTTCAGTGGAGCAGGTCGTATGCTTGGTGTTTATGTGACAGTACATGTACGTATTTAAATGTCTGTATATGCTGTCTACTCAGAGGGCATTTTAAATCACTCTGCATTCCTCCACCCCGACAATGCACATCCATTTCTTCTTTAGCTAAAAATGCCACAAAGCACTCTAAGTTTTATCAGCAAGAACTGAGATTTCTAAACTAACCACTGCTGCTTAATTACTGAAACCCCAGCTTTTTCATTTTTATTGACCAGATAATAATGAAAGACCATCCATTCAAATTTAATATAGGTAATATTTTTGTACCTGTATTTTAATGGAGACTATATTAATAACAAATAGACTCTACAATTACTAAAAATAATAAGGGAAAAGCCTATTTAAACTAAAGGGGAAAATGCTTTCAGAGTATACTATGCAATACTGTGATTTGTGATTCAACAAGCCCAAGAATGAACTTTCTCATTTCAGGGAAAAAAAAAAAAAAAAAAAAAAAAAGACTTATAAAAACTAATGCCATTACTTCTCTTTCTCCACCCCAAACCTTCTCATTCACAGTGTTTACTTTTGCAGAGGAACGACTACAGCATATTGGGGAATATATTGAAAGCTTCTGGAAGAATCCACTTGTGAAAGACCCTAGCATTTATAACAAACTATACCTAGCAGCATGAAAGAAATCTCATACTGATTTAGATAAAAAAGAAGCAATGTGTTAGACAGAAAGAGCAGCAATGACTTTACTCTTTTGACTCTTCAATGCAAAAAGTGATTTACATCCATAACAGAGATCACAGTACAAAAGACTGCTCTTGGGTGACCAGTGTAAGTTCCTAATCAATCCATTAGGACGCCCTGAACGTATATGTTATATGGCACTAGATACAAGTATCTGACACTGAATAAATTATCTCCAAACAACACAAAAATTTACAAATGCCTGGAGAAATGCAAGAGTTTTAAGTAGGAGGTCAGAGTAGGAAGATTTATCGCAATATGGGTGCTTAAAAGTAAGGTTTGAAGGAAAGTTCTTTCCAAAACTGACCTGAGAAGATCATGTCAAGAATGAACAGCAGTAAGTACAAAGACAGAAAGACTGGAATAAGGATAAAATGTTTCTCAATAAATCAATTTTCAGTGACAAAATGTCCAGCTTTCAATAGGCTCTAAGTCCAAGGTAAAAGAGTAATTTGAAGGAGAAGGATGTAAAATGCAAAAATTCCACAGTGTCACAAATCAAGCAAATTCAGTACATTTCTCAGACACTGAAAGTTCTGGGAAAGAAAATCAACAGGCTTTGAAGATGGGAAATTTAAAAGCTAAAAGCGACAGCTCTTCAAGCTTTCCACAAAAATCTGAGGAAAGCATACAATGCATCTCTGCAAGCAGGCCATGGTTGGAGAATGTGGGAACTGCAAGCACATAATAATGCAACTAAAATTGAGAACAAGTCAAGCAGAAGCTTAATTAACTCTGATCATAATGAGAGAACATTGAGACAGCACCTCCCCCTCTGCTCCCCTGTTCCCTGCCAAGCGATCACTGAGAGCCAGCCTAAATACTGTTTCAGGAAAAAAAAAAAAAAAAAGAAAGAAAAAAAAAAAAAAAAAAGAAAGAAAAAAAAAAAAAAAAAGAAAGAGGTGAAGAAAACCAATTATCTTGCTGTTAGCAAAGCCACATATCCATTCCTGGAGGGATGGACTCCTTAGGGAGCTTGCTAACCACCACACTTCTAAGACGGAATCAAGCAGGAAATAACGCGACAATCTAGAGATCTGGCTCCCGGTGGAGCCCGTAGGAATGGCACACCTGGTACTACCTTAGCTCAGAGGTTGTGAGTTGGAAACAATCACAGACTGTTAGATTTTAGTCGAATGTTCTTTGAGTTAGGAGAAAGGCCAGAGCTAGATCTCTCAGATCTTAAATATTAATAATTTTATGACCACATCACAAAACCACTAATACCATTATTGATATAACTGCAAATAAACTTTCTTATCCTTCTTTGACATCCACAAAATACATAGATTTAAATAAAGCTATTAAATATTTAAACATTATGTAATATTTCTGGATACCATAGTTAACAGCACGTACAAGAACTCCCATCGAATAAACTCCCATAACGATATACAAATACATATGCTTGCAAGCGAAGCAAATAAACTCTGGGAAAACCCTGTCCATGGCAATGCATGCTACAGGACTCATATTGTCTGGACAAGAAATAGGTGCAGACGCGCTAGTGACAAAGCTAAGTGCCATCTTACTGTCCAACGGCCTTAGGTTCCACTGCTGGAGGAGACAATAACGGAGCAGGTTGCAAATGAAGTTTATTGCAAAGGCATCCAAGTAGTTCAAACAGGTGTACTTGGGTCCCTAAGGCTCCTTCATCATTGAGTCATACATACATATGTCCTACTGCTGAGTAAATGAAAAGTGCAGGTATAGACAAACATTTCCATATATAGCTAATCTTTTTCTTCTAAACTTCAGAATATTTGGGGGAGCTTCCCACAAAATGAAAATTCAGATAGGCAATCAAACCTACTGGTAATGTACAGGGGGAAACAGGTGGAAAACTCGAGTTAAACGTCATTTCAATGCGAAAAAAAAGAGGAGAAAAATCTGTCCTGAATCTGCACCACACAAAGACAAAACAAAATGTGTCAACAGAATAACAACATGGGTTTTGTCAGCAGAAGATCAAGACTTTAAAGTTTTAATTTTGAAATACCAGATGGACACATATGGATTGCGTTATTTCAGAAAACAAGTGCAGAACCAGGTTTACTTAAAGATGTTGCTGTTATCTGCTGCTTCTGTTAAATTGGTATATTCTCCTGCTTGATACTGTTCGTTAACATTTCCAGGAAGTTCCGATAAGCAGTGCAAATATGATATGCATCCCATGTTGGATATTTGATTCACTATGAAGGCCTACACAGCTAAAGTTTATCCTGCTAGGATCTTTTCTTTCCTACATTTCTTAATAAGAAGCTCCAATTTTCACATGGCAAAATACAACCTTCAGCATTCTCTGTACTGTTTTTAATTAATATTATAATTCTGCTCAAGCTGGCAACAAAATTCATTGAACTAAATTATAGACACTCAAGTTTGTTCACCCTGGGGAAAGAGGAAACGGATTTTTAGTCTAGAGAACATTAGTGATAGAGAAAATCAGGATGAGCAAGACATCAGCTACTGCCACACGTCTCCAAAAAAATGTAGCTGTATAGGTTAAGGAGTAGGGTTTAAGGAAGCACGTCAGTCTGATTCTGAATGCAGGCTGACACTATTTACAGTGCCACGGCTTTTACAAATCCTGCTATCGCTACGGTCTTCCAAGCACCTCTATAAACATAATGCCTTGGATAAGTTCACTTCTAATTTCCATTCTAGTAGACATAATTAAATCTTAATTATGTAACAGTCACCTGTAGAGCAATGCAAAACGTTTGCAGTGAGATTTTTAGCCCTCTGAAAGTCAGTGTCACAAACTCTAAAGGCTGAAGTTGACAGGTACAACTTGAACTTGACCTAGCATAGTCTGATGAGGAAGTCACAGATGACTTTTCAACACATACTGTTTTCTTCAGCTAAAAAAAAAGAAAAGAATCCACAAACCATAAAGCTCCATACAGATTTGACATAAAATCAGACCGAACAGCAGCATGGCTTTGGCCTACACTAAATGTGAACTCAAGTTTCAAACTAAGGGCAGGAATCTTTTTGTAAAAGCTCAATTGTAAATAACTGTATCGGTGTTTTAAACATTACATTGTTGATGTTTGTGAAGTGCTTCAAAAACTTCATATTAAATACCTCCTGGCATTTTCAAGGGGTAGTGGGAGAAGAGAAATTCCAGCCAGAGAAGAAACAAATTCCAACTCACGCTATATAATGAAACCATTATCTCCAAAATGAAGAAAAATATAGACCCAACACCCATCTATGTTACATTATAAATTATAGTATTAAAATTAATCATATTCTTTGGAACAACAAATACATTTCTGTAACTTCTCTGTTTGGATGAATGAGAGTCTTTCTTAAAAGTTAAACTACCGTATCTTCAGCAAGCAAACTAAATAATTCCAAAGAAATTAGCTCCAATGGAAACAGAAAAAAGTCTGCAATCTAAACTGACTTATCCAAATACCTCAGAAGAATACTATAAGAGAATAATGGAAAGTGTAGAAGCAATGAATAATGTTCACGTGTCCTTTCCATTTAAGAAATAACTGC